AGGTTTGGCTGGTCCTCCCAAATATAGTATCACATTGTTTGTGAACATTTTTTTATAGTAGTACATTGTGATCGCTATACTTGATACATTTGAATCTGTTTATCTTTCACTTTTAATGAGGCAACTAGGGAAGCATGAGTAGGAATCACTTGCTTCAGGTTTAAATTTGGTCAATACTCTTAACACAAATCCCACTGCTTGTGCTCACAGTGCAGATTTATGCCTCTCGAGGCTTGAGCATGTGCTATTCTGTGTAGTCATGTCTATCACATAGAGATATAGGATGCCCTATATTTGAAGTGTCAAGGATGCCAATTTGCCCTGTTCTTCTGAACAGCATTCACAATAAAACTCTCTTGTCGTGAAGCTACTTTATAATAGGAGAATTTGTACCAGCAAACAGTGAGCACATTTGGCACCAAGAATCAACCGATTCAATGTGCGTGAACTAGAGAAATTTTCTTGCAACAACGTCATATGTTCTTTTTTTTTTGCGGGGAAAAAAACACAGAAGCGACACCTTACTACTATGCCCAAGTATAACATGCTGCTTCATTCATGCAGGTTTCAGATGTGCAAACCGACTCTTCTCCAGGTGAATGCATATACCCAAGAAGCCCTGCGTTAGGCCTTGGGTTGATGTCTGCAGTTGCCCTTATGGTCGCACAGGCTATTATAAATACAGTTGCTGGTTGCATCTGTTGTAAGAGGCATCCGGTTCCCTCAGACACTAACTGGAGTGTGGCTCTGATCTCATTCATCGTATCTTGGTAATATTCTGCCCTACAGCTTTACCTTCTGTTTTGTTCATTCCTCCCATATTTTGAACAATTCAACGGAACGTTGAGGTTCATCTGAAGTTCTTAACAATTGTTAGAAATTCTGAACACTGTTATATTATGTTGAACCACACTAAGCTTTACATGTTGTTGAAAACAGTGTAAAAGAAATAAGGGACCCTAAATTTGCCTAACACTTACGTATTTTTTAAAGGAGGATTACCCCGGCCTCTGCATCAAAGTGACGCGTGCAGCCATCTAAATTTGCATAACACTAAGACTTCAGTTCTTTCTTTCCAGCCTAGTTGCTCTGTTCATGTTGACCTCCAATGTGCTTGTTGATGATCATGTTGAGTTCTTGTATTTTGTTTCCCTGTTCTTGGTTCAATGTTAAGAATACATTCATTAGAAAGATTGTGTGCTTGATGCCCTAGATCCACACCCTTCGTTAATGTAGGAATTGCACATTGCTTTTAGGCTGATGCTTGTATTGTTGGAAGGATCACACATGAATGGTCCATATGATGAATCTATATGGAATAACCTTTTATAGATAGATCTCACATACAAGTAACAATGTGGGCTATTTGTGTCTTTTCATTTGAACATTTTACAGTCCTATTTAGCATTGACCCCTGCAATTCTGCTGCTTATAAAATGAAAACGACTTGAATGCTACATTTCATCAGTGTGCAAACTCCTTGTTACTAGTCATGATGACTCGATCAACTATTTATCATAACATCTTTCTGGGGATTGTGACATTCTGCAGGGTCACTTTCATAATCGCTTTCCTTCTCCTGCTGACCGGAGCCGCGCTGAACGACCAAAGGGGCCAGGAGAACATGTACTTCGGCAGCTTCTGCTACGTCGTCAAGCCGGGGGTCTTCTCCGGAGGGGCGGTGCTCTCCCTCGCGAGCGTGGCCCTGGCCATAGTCTACTACGTGGCCCTGACGTCGTCGAAAGCCCCGCCGAGCTGGGGCCCACAGCAGAACCAGGGCATCTCCATGGGCCAGCCCGTGATCCCGCAGCAGAGCAGCGAGCCGGTGTTCGTCCATGAGGACACCTACAACCGGCAACAGTTCCCATGAGTGATCACAGCCATATTGAAGCCAGCCATTTCGAGGGTCGCCCATGAGGACACTTGCAACCGGCAGCAGTTCCCGTGATCGCAGTCGTAGTACCTAAGCCGTTTCGACGGCCCGCATGAACGCTATGTTGGCGAGTTTGGTTTGTATAGCCCTGCAGGTTAGAACAATAGCAGCAGTTTGGTTACCGTTATTATTAGCTAGGTTCATCAGTCTTCTCTTTTTCTTTGTTTGAGACTTGAGAAAGGCGGCGGCATGCCTGTTTCGTCGGTATGGATATTTGAATTTTAAATGAACTGGGTAATGTTGAGGTTGATGGCGTCTTGCTTGTCTGCAAGCCTTTTTACAAGCTGTATGTGGACTGAATACTGTCTGCCCAGTGCAGTCCAGTACACTGACGAAATGAAGCTGGATTCAGAAACAAGAAGCAGCAGAAACTCTGGGTTGTGAGCGCGCCGTTGAGGCCAGCTCCTCCCTGAACTGCGCGACGGTGGCTTCGACGATGGCGTTTGCGGGCACCGTGGCGTCGACGACGGTGATCCCCTTGGCCGTGTCGATCTCCAGCAGGTCGAGCTGGCTCTGCACCAGGCTCGCCGGCATGAAGTGGCCCCCTTCTGCCGCCCTCTTTTCCACCCTCCCGGCGATCACCTCCGCCGACGCCTCCAGGCACACGAACTTCACCCTGTAGGCCCCGTAGCTCCCTGGCTTGTAGTTCCGATCTCCTTCTCGGAGGACCTCCCTGTAGTTCAGCCGGAGAGCCGAGCAGCTGACGGCGACGTCCTCGCCGCGGCCCAGCCGGTCCCTGATAGCATCGCGTAGGGACTCCAGCCATGGCGCCCGGTCCGCGTCGGTCAGCGGGACTCCCTTGCTCATCTTCTCTGTTTTTGTTTGGAGCATTGACAAATATTTTGACACTTTGCAATTTTTTATCACCATATATATGACATTCGTGGAAGATGAGGTTCGCCGCAAGCCCAACCGCTAATTCAGTACAACCAAAAGCCGCTGGTTGGCGTGGTAGCCGAGTCCAGCACATATAGCACCCAAAACTGTGTGAAACCAAAGGAAGCGTCAGGCCATGCTCCCTTCCCAGTCCTTCTCAGGCAGCAGTGATGACCGCGCCCGCCACGGGGTTGCCTAACCCTAACATACGTAAAATATGTCACGTGTTTGATTGGAAAGTAATAAGAGCCACTAATTGCTCACTGACTGCTAGTCTCAGTGTTCACTGGCAGACTTTGATTTTGTGTGTGCCCTCAACGCAAATTTCCAATGCATCCCATTCCACTGCTACACCACGCTATGGGATCGTCAGTGGCATTCAGCTTTGTCATTCTCCTCCCATTTCCCTACCAACTAAATGTGATCTCTCTACATGGCCAATAAGCTAGTTATTTATAGGAGGCCACCTAGTGACAACTTTGTGTGTAGCGAGGACATCATCATTGCTTCACCAAACATCACACTCGAATAATTGATGTCGTTTAATTCTACTGCGGTGGCATCGTTCTTGGCATTTGCAGCACACGTGGCATCAAAATGTGAGCAACCTTAAATGGATTGTTTCTAGCAAACCATGAAGATGGAACCATCTGAACTCAACCTATAGTATATAGTGATGGATTAGGGTTTACTGAAGCGAGTTTATGACCCTCTAGGGGCAGCGGTCTAGTAGACTTCTTAAAATATGCAGCTTAGTTACCTTGACATCCAAGACTTATCTACAATGAGAGTGATTTGCCAAACTTAAACATGTGAGAGCTAGTTACGACGACATTCTAATAGTCCTCCCCAATCATCACTTATCCAACTAAACGAGTACCAAATTAATTAACTACTAGACAAACTTATTTATGCTTTATTGCACGTCATATTCTACCATTGGAAGTATTACACAGATAGGCTATTGGACACTAATAAAACCACCATGATTGTCCTCTGTTTTCTGATGTGCGCACCAATCGGTGCAGAGGACCGAGGTTATTTTCTTTTTCGAAAAAAAACATCTTAATACATCCACCTAATGTATAAATCTTGGTGTACATGGTGTGCTTTAAAACTAAATATGTAGTCTCATACAAAATCACTCATGAATTAGAAAAAATAGGGTTTATTATTATTATTTTCGCTACTAGTTGTGACAGACTACTCAATTTTACCACTAAATTTGTTCGGTGTTCATATTGAATTTGTCTAACTTGCCAAATTATTTATATCAATTTTTGAATTCAAGCACTATAGGCGGGGCGATTACCATATATTCCCAATTGCATGCATCTCTTCCTTTCCTAGCTTAAATGATTTACTTGCCATTGTAATCAATGATTTAGCCAAGTTCAATTTCGTCCTAAATTGTGTATAATTATGTGCCTTGGTCACAATGCCAAAAATAATAGACCTTACATGAAGGAATGGAGGGAGTATAAGATAAGACTTCTCCCCCATTTCTGTTTATAGTCAAGTCTCTCAATATGTAATTGTCCCTCTAGTCGCTCTAGAAGTAGAAAGAATAGCAATTCTCGTTCCATCCAAAACTTTAGGAATTCCTTGATAGTTGGTGTAAATTCGCCTAAAAGAAAGCAATGATTATATTCCATTTAGGGGAGGATCTGGGTGCGCCTAGACCAGGAGTGCGGGACCTTGCCCCACTACCCATATACATGTGGGCACCCCATGCAGGTGAGCCCCACTCCGGAACCTTATAGAACCTTCTCGGTACAATGCCGAAAAAACATGAACATTTTTCGGAACCCTGATGATATGACTTCCCAAATATAGATCTTTACTTCCGGGCCATTCTGGAGCTCCTAGCGATGTCGCACCAAAGCCTGTATGAACGCTATGTTGGTGAGTTTGGTTTGTATAGCCCTGCAGGTTAGAACAATAGCAGTTTGGTCACCGTTATTATTAGCTAGGTTTGAGAAGGGTGGCGACATGCCTGTTTCATCATGAGTATGAATGTTTGAATTTGAATGAACTGGGTAATGTTGAGGTTGATGGCATCTTGCTTGTCTGCAAGCCTCTTTTTACAAGCTGTATGTGGACAGTGGACTGCATAATGTCTGTCCAATCCAGCACACTGACGGAAATGAAGCTGGATTCAGAAACAAGAACCAGCAGGAACTCTCGGTTGTCAGCGCGCCGTCGAGGCCAGCTCCTCCCTGAACTGGGTGATGGTGGCTTCGACGATGGCGTGGGCGGGCACGGTGGCGTCGACTACGGTGATCCCCTCCGCCGCGTCGATCTCGAGCAGGTCCAGCTGGCTCCGCACCAGGCTCGCCGGCATGAAGTGGTCCCCTTCCGCCGCCCTCCGCTCCACCCGCTCGGCGATCACCTCCGCCGACGCCTCCAGGCACACGAACTTCACCCTGCAGGACCCGTAGCTCCCTGGCTTGTAGTTCCGATCACCTTCTCGGAGCACCTCCCTGTACCCTAGCCGCAGCGCCGAGCAGCTGACGGCGACGTCCTCGCCGCGGCCCAGCCGGTCCCGGATGGCGTCGCGCAGCGACTCCAGCCACGGGAGGCGGTCCTCATCGGTGAGCGGGACGCCCCTGCTCATCTTATCTGTTTCGTCACCGACAGGGGAGGAGCAGACAAGTTGAGAGTTTGGTTTCAGCTGAAGAAGCTTTCAGAGATGCACTGCAGTCAGTCTGCAGGTAGTACCTTTGTTTGTCTGGGAGTGGTAGTCGTCCGCCTCGACGAAGCCGCAGCCCAGCGCCTCCGCGAGCATCGCCGCCACGGTCCTGCGGCAGAACAGAAAATTCGCATCAGAGCTGAGCAGAGGGCAGCCGCTGCTCGGCTGCTCCCCATGTTGGCATGTTCTCTTCTTCAGTAATGTGAGAGCAAGCAGTAAGAGTAAGAGGGGATGATTGCTGAAATGAAATGAAATCTTACGATTTGCCGCAGCCGCTGACCCCCATGACCACGATGGCCAGACCTACAACCACAAACGACTCAGCAAGGTGCGGCGAAATTACAAATTGGCAGCAGGAGGCTGGCCGGCCGGATCGGCTCTGCCCCCGCCCCCAAGCAATTTCTTGGAGAGAGAGCGGTGAGCTGAGCTGTACCTGGATCTGGGCGGAGGAGGTCAGGGCCGGCCATGCCGCTCCTCCCTCCGGCGGTCTCTCCGACGCTTCCTCTGCGGCGGCGACGGCGGGACGAGGGAGAAGAGGAGCACACGAAGTAAGCGCGGCCGGCGAACGAATTGAGTGAGTTCGAGTGCCGAGGACGACACCGCTCGTCGCCTTTCCGTTTCTCAGGGTCAGGGTTGACTCTGCTTGCCGTCCCCGTCCCGTCTCTCTCTCTATATATATATCTCTGGCCAGCTCACCAGAAAAAGGAAGGGAAAAAAGGCTATACCCTTCCTCTATGGCCATGATTCAGCATTAGCAGCACGTCGATCTCCAATCTCCACAGTCATCCCCACTGCTCTTGAGATTTTTACCAACCTAATGTCGCAAAGATGCCACCGATGTTGGTTGGTTGGGGAGGATCCATCACAACACCATGGTGCGTTATTCATTGGAGCGTATTCTTCAAAGTAAGCAGGTTTTTTTTTCTATGCCGCAGCCCGAGCCATGGCGCCGCAGCTGAGGATGCACGTCGCGGAGGCGCTCAGTGTCAGGCCTAGAATCAATGAGGGCTAGCAGAAGAACTCTTCTTCAGACACCATACACAAGCACAAGGAAGGATGTTAACGGAGCCCATATATATTAGTAATACAAAATTTCCCACTCAACATCAGCCCGCCATTTTCCTCCAAGCAAGGAAAGGAGGCGTCCCAAAAGGTCTCGGGCCGGATGAGAGCATCAGCATACATTCAGCGCCGATTCAGTCCAGCACAAGAAACGAAACGACATGAAGAGACGCACACACAGCACCTGAAACTGCGCGATTATTCCGCAAACACAGACAGACGGCGGCGAAACCAAAGGAAACGTCGTTAGGCCATGCGCCCTTCCCAGCCGTTCTCAAGCAGCAGGTGGCACACGACGACGGCGGCCACCACCGCGAGGAGCGCCGCGGCGACGTACTTCCAGCCGAGCGCGGCCGACGGCTTTATGGTCCGCAGCGCGCCCTCGTCGGCGGAGTCCTCCTCCTCCTCCTCTCCTCCGGTGCTTCCCTCCGCTTCCACCTTGCCGTCGATAAGATCCGCGGCTTTCTCCGCCTGAGAGCAGAACATATCATGGATCAATAACGTTTACAGATCAGTACAATCATTGTAACGCTTATGCGGGTATGTATGAATGAACAACTTGCCAAAAAAGATCAAGGTGTGCAGGTATCGCTGCAGGTTCGCCAAAATGTTAGCGCCGTGTAAGTGCGAATATTTTTGCTAGGAAAATGGCCAGGCCTTGATAAAAAAAAATTGATCGATGGCTTCCGCGCTAAGGGCAGACTGGCAACAAAGCTAAACTTGGCTGCTGGTGCTTAGTTATATGAATTCTATTATAAATGTCAAATTTGAAGTTTTCCTGTCAACTTAGTAGCATCTATAGGGGCTGGAGTATGTCCGCTGTAGCACCTCATCATATGCAATGGGATGTGGAGGCTCATGCGCTTTACTTCAAAGAAGAGGCGCAGATAAATTAGAGAGAGATCTCACCACATTCTGTGCTGATGAAGAATCTGAAACTATTTCCTCGGCCAATGTAGTGAACTGAAGTTCAGCATCTTTACCAGTAGCATTTTTGTACAACTTTGTGCCATCCTTGACACTGGTTCCTTTGCACTTGTGAGTCAATACCTTGTTCTTCTTTGTTAACGTAGAAATCTGCAGCCACCACGAAGAGCCAAACCAGCATATGAACATAACGGAATGAGAAAGTAATAACAAGAGCTAATAAAGGCAAACATTGATGGTGTGTATGCAATCATGCATATACCAACCTGGAGATGAAGTCGTTCTCTTTCCATTGCAAGTTTCGTGACCAATTCAGTAATAACTTTAGTTCTGAGACCAATGTCCTTGATGGTTGCTACTTTCACATGGTTAGCTTCATGTAACGAGCTCTCTAGGCGTTCAACTCGGCCTCTCAGAAACGATAGCTCTTCACTAAGCTCTAAATTGGTGTCTCCTAATAATGCACACTTTGATTCAGCGTTTTGGGCTCTGGTTTCGGATTTTGAAACCTTTCCTTTCAAATCTTCAATCATATGTTCCATGTCAGATACTGTAGATTTCAGCATACCCTGCTGTTCAGCAAAGGCAGCAACTGATGCCTTTGCATGCTCCAGCTGGGCATTTGACTCCGACAATTCCCTCTCCAAAAGACGGGCCTTATCCGAACCCTGGCTTTTAAGAGAGCTTAACTCCCCACTGAGCTCTACATTATCTTTTGTTAGCTGCATGCACCTTACTTCAGCATTTTGCGCTCTGTTTTCAGCTCTTAGGACATCAGCTTTGAGATTCTTAATGGTACTTTCCAGCGTGCTTAGCTCACTGAGCATCACATTCTCTTTCTCCTGACTTACTTCTGATGATACCTTTTCCAACAACAACTGTGAATTAGATTCCCCGAAATGTTTTTCTAGCTCTTCAACCTGATGCTGCAAGGATAACAATTCAGGGTTTGATCGTGCCTGGTTCTGCACAGCTTCTTCAGTTTCAACCTTTTTGCTCTCTTCTTGCATCTTCTCTTGGTTTAATTTCAGAGAAGACAGTTCCATCAAGCTGCGTTCTAACTTCGAATTGAGATCATCTTCTCTAGATCTTGATGCACTTAAACGGACCTGTATGGTATTAAGTTCATTTATAAGTTCCCTGGAAGTTCCCAGGAGTACCTCAGAAGCATTTTCTGCTTCAAACAATCTCCCCGAATTTGTTTCTGTTAATTCCTCCAGAAAAGATGCTTCTTGTGTTTGAAGACGAAGCTTCATTTTAAGTTCTTCTACAGCATATCTTGAATCAGAGAGCTTCTTTTCAAGATCTAGCTCACTTGCTATCGATTGCTCTAACATCTGCAGAACATTTCTTCGTTCATCTTCTGTATGCATGCTAGTGACGGATGACATATGACCATTTTCACACACACCATGCTCAGCAATGCCTGTACAAGAGAGGTTAGAAAGGGATCCAGTTGATGCGTAATAGGGAGAGAACAGAGATAAGTGAGCATTTACCTGCTTGGTCGCTGGAAAACTCAATGGGTTTCTCGAACTTTGCAGACTCCTTTCTGATATCGGCAATTAGATCCTGCATCTGTTTCAAAGAAGCCATAGCAGCATCCAGCTTAGCTTTAACCTTGCCTCCAGATTCTTCGTCATAAACCTTGTCCTCAACATTTTTAGCATCAATCTGAAGAGAACTGATCATGTCATCTAACTCTTGGACTTCTGCATCAAGAATACCATACAAGGTGTCCAACTCGAAGGCATCCTCAGCAGTCTCAGAAGAAACAGATCCACTTTCCAAGGTAAGAGGCTCAAAATCAGTAGCTCGGCGAGCTATTTCCATCACCAGCATCTCCAAATTTAGCAACTTCTCAGAGGCAAATGCAAGGTCGAGTTCTACTCTTGTAAGACTTTCCATGTTGGTTCCTACTGCATTCATCCTATCTGCTGGAGACAGGGAATTTTCTTGGACAAGAACATCATTTCTAGTGTTCTCGGCACTCATAATTCCTTGTGTGTTACCTACACATGAAAATCGCATTAAAAACAAGATGCTGATATGAGATACAAGCAGGCAATACAGAAGATTAAAATAGACAAATATGGAAGGGAACCAGATGAGCAACAAAAACCAGAGCACAACAATGTATCTAGCTTATGAGTAATTCCACTTTTTACCCCTTATTGTGACACTGTGACTACTTTACTCCATTTTATTATTTTCCACAAACTGAAAAGCTAGATCCATTTGTCATGACAACATGAGAGGACAGCTGACTGGTCAGACAACTCGGACATGTATGGGCATACCAAATGCCAAATTCGTCAAATTCAACTAAATTCTACGAAATAGTGTCAGTTTTGCAGACACAGGCCCTGCCTTGAGTTTGCAGAAAATAATAAAATGGGATAAGGGCCTGTCACAAGGTCAAAACTAAGTACCTACTAGTAAAATGTGGTAAGGATATAAGCTCATAAAAATGTTCAGGTACCAATCCAAGAGGGCTACTGAACCCACAGGAATCAGCTACCCCAGGTAGCTAGCAATATGTATTATGGGATTGGCTCTGCGCCGACGGAGTGCAGATCTAGATGGTGTGCCGGCACATCGAGAAATCGCCGGGGTCAGCGGGGCTGAACTAATCCCTAGATCGAGGACAGTGTGCAATCCAACATGAATATGAACAATAATCATTTCGAAAACTGAACTAAATTTGATCGTCTTGTCGCTCCCAAACACACGAACAGCACACAGATACAAGCACAAATACACACTTCGTATGTAATATAAGTCTGACTGCAGGTGGAAACTAGAATCTATATACCTCCGACTGAAGGGGAAAAATCGCAGACTTGTGTGCTGCTTGCTCCTGCTGAGCTGCTCGGCCGCTGCCTGCAATCAATCACACGAGGGAGAGAGATAGATCAGTCCCAAGCTGTTGCAATCAGAGAAGAGCCCCGAGCGCATCAGGCCGGCGCCGGCCGCCGCCCCGAGCCTCGCCCAGCCCGCGCGCCGCGCCGCGCCGGGCCCTAAGCCGCCGTCGCAGCGGAGGCGAGAGAGGGAAGGGGAGCGGGGGAAATGGGCCGAGGGCGGGCGCACGCACCTGCGTCCTGCCGTCGCCGGAGCTCCACGATCTGGCCGCCGCCGTCGCCCGCCGCGCGAGATGGACAGAGGGGGGAGAAAAAGCGAGATGCAGTAGCTGTCTAGGCTAGTCGACGGACAGAGGAAAAATCGCAGCTTTTCTGCTGTGACGGGAATCGACGATCCATCCTTTCGGTGGCCCCACCGGTTGAAGGGCCACCTGGAAATGGCTCTCGGCCTTTACACCGCGAAGAAAAAAGTTCTTCAGCCTTTATATTTATTAGAGAAAAGTTGAAAGAAAAAACCATAATAGTAGCTCGGATTCTTTTTGCGGGGTCTAAGAGCATCTACAGCCGGACTCCGCAAATCCGACCACTTGGCATCGCGAGCCCTCCGTCCGCTTCTCGACTAAGTCGCCCCTGGACCGGAGCCTCTAACTCATATTTGGGATTTGGCTTTGGCTCCCGCTGAAGATTAGGATCTTTCTTTGGCAATGGATCCGTGGCCGCCTTCCTTCTTGTGTAGAGGTGCTTAAGCGCAATGGCCCTGGTATGTTCTTGTTAGACTTTTGTTGAATAATAAATAAAAATGACTGTATGCATCGATTGATGCAGAGGACGGGGGTCTTAACCTTCTTTTTCCAAAAAAAAATATCGACACTTCCAAGCACAACAATTTACACGCATTTCCAAGCCGTCTCGGTTTGCTTCTCTGCAGACCACGATGTAAGTTCGATATCTCCGCTTCTTTTCGCCCGAAACTTCTAAACTATGGCTTGGCACTTTTCTGCAAGATTTCTTATCCGAGCAGCTGCTCTGTTTTGTGCGCGCGGTACTACCAAGAGATCAGTTTTTTTTTATATATATCAACACTTCGAATTTATATCTTTGCGGAAAAGGTGCTGCATTTTTGTGTTCGATCGGAACCACCGCTCGTTCTTTGATCGGCACCTCCGAGCAGATTATTTCCCGAACACTGCCCTGGCCGTTCAAGCTTTGTAATAACCATTAATCACGTTTCTTAACAATGGTTTGCTGATGTCGGTTCTCATAACAATATATACTACCTAGCCTTATAAAAACGTCTTGTATTCTGAGATTGAAGGAAACGTGTGGCTATGTCCTCAAGCAAGCAAGTGAAAACTTCACCAATGCATATGACCACGCGTGTTGCTGGATGTCATCCCGGCCGCCAGCAGAAGTTGACAATACCTGAGACCTGACCCGTAGCCATACATGGCCGGCCGGGTCGCACGTCGGTGTCATGCATTCTGCACTCAGGCGCGAAGGCCGAATCAGTAATGTTGGAACAATCGGGAAAGAGATTGAACTGCTCCTTTTTATGTTATTATTGGACTACCAAAAGAAGCAACACGTACGTACACCGGCCCTTGTCCGCACGTAAAATCGTTTGTTTTAGTTGCTAAAATCAGTACAAAGTTGAGTCATTTGTTTTGAAACGGGGAGAGTAAAAGGAGGCCAGCCAGTGCAAGCGGCAAGTCAAGATAACGACGACTAAAGAAACAAATCAGTTGACGATGTGTTTGGTTACCTGCATTGTTTTTTGCCCATTTGCATACTTGTTTTAGTTGGGTTTGGTTGAGCATATGCGGGCAAAAACCTACATTTGTATGTTGATTGGTTGTCTACATATACTTTCGTCACTGCATCGTAACGATGCTTCTATGCATCGCGTTTGGTTGCTCACATTGTATGTGGTCAGATGAGTGCATGTTGTTTGGTTGCTTACACGGGATATGCTTAAAACTTAACAGCTGCCCATAAGACACAGTGCCATGGCGATTGTGATAAACGATGACGAGGACACAAGCAACTAGTTTGCCGTGCCGCCATCCCGAAGCACAACAGCAACAACAACTCGCGGGGGCTCCCGCCTGCAGTAGTAGCTCGTCTGCCTCCGTCCCGGAGAGCAGCAACAACAACTCGAGGGGGCTCCCGAGCAGCAGCTGCCTGGCAACCTCCATCCGGAGCGCGAGCAGCAGCAGGCAGCAGCCCGACCCAGCGGGGGCGCTTGTAAATCGATGAACTGGTCGATGCGGGGGCCCTCGACCAGCGGCTGGTGGCCCGGCAACAATGGGGAATTGGCAAGGGAGGCGGTGAGGCACTGGGTCAGACCGGAGTTGGCGGCAGCAGAGAAGGATCTGGCTGAAATTGGCAGCAGCAGCAGCAGAGAAGGGACTCGCCTCTACGGTTGACGAAACCACGAATCAATCGCCTAAATGGAACCGTGACATCGATGTGTCATCGTATAGACTTTATGTCGAATCGAAGTACCGTTGTGTAGATCAGAAGGGATGAAGAAAGGGGATTAGGGAGGATTTTAGTGGAGGTAGGAGAAGAAACCAGGTACAGAGCTCGCATCCCTCCTGTATTCCCTCATGCAACAAGACCCACCGCATGCGCTAAAGTTGGCTCAACCCAGCCTGGCTGGCTGGAAACGACCGATTCGACCGTTACTAGCGGGTGGGGAGTGCTTTAAGTTTCGTGCGGGCCAACATTTGTATGCGATCCAGGCAACCAAACGGGCCAAATTCATCCCATGCGGGCCTGGCTGATCCTAATGCAGGCAACCAAACGCATCACAACTGTTGCATTATCGGAAGGAGGAGTGTCGGGTATGTGGTGACTCCATCAATCTCAAGACTTGTTGGTTCATAAAAAAAAAAGATAACCACCGTTCATAAAACATCCACATCTATAAAAGTGAGTGTACGGGTGTGTATGCAAGCATCCACATCTATACTTATAATGTGTTTCTAAAACATACTCCTTCCGTTTAAAAAAAATGAAGGTAACCACCGTCTCTTGGAGCACATTAACTAATGTCCTGGTGATGAGCTGCGAGGATCCCATTGGTCGATAGAGAAGGTAGGTAGGCGATCTGAGAGCTGGCCGGTTCAAAATATTTTAGTACTACCTCCGTCTCGGTGAATAAGTCATTTGCGTAGTTCTAGGTTGACGATTTAACTATCTAAATATATATTATATGTGATACAAAATATATATTTAGAAACTACATCCTTGTAGAAATCTAGTGATATACTTTTCATGACATATAACATATATTTAATTCCTCAAATCGATGATCTAGAACTACGCGAATGACTTATTCACCTAGACGGAGGTAGTAGTACCTATTATAGTACATCAATAAGATGGTGCTAATGTGGTGCAAGAGATCAAAGTTGGCATAGTTTAGCCGGCGTATCTTTGGTCACCCTAGACGGAAGAGCCACGTACGTACGTGGCAGGCCGTGCCTGTCCCCGGTTCCTCACGCACCAGAGGATACGCCACAAGCACAGGATCGCCCCGTCCCGCCCATCTGCCCATCCGAAAGGCCACTGATGCAATCGTCCAACCCGTATATAGTTCCACATCATGTCAGCATCACACACAGGAGGAGAAGCGAGTGACGATGATGTTTGGCGGCAATGGCGACGCCGTGGAGAGCGGCGGCGGCGGCTTGGCCGTGGCGCCGTTCGTGGCCAAGACGTACGGGATGGTGGCCGACCCGGCGACGGACGGCGCCGTTGCGTGGGGGGAGCACCGACAACAGCTTCGTCGTCGCCGACGTCCCCGCCTTGTCGCGCGCGCTCCTCCCCGCGCCAAGTTCGCCAGCTTCGTCCGCCAGCTCAACGCCTACGGCTTCCGCAAGGTCCACCCGGACCGGTGGGAGTTCGCCCACGCCTCCTTTACTTCCTCCGCGGCCGGACGCGCCTCCTGCGCCACGTCGTCCGCCGCCGGAGCCACAAGCTCAAGGACGACGGCGAAGAGGACGACGGAGGCAGAGGCACGACGACACTGCTGGTCATGGATCCAGAGGTTGTCTGGCTGAAGCAGGAGTAGAGGGCCACGGAGGAGCGCCTGGCGGCCATGCGGCGCCGGGTGCAGGAGACCGAGCGCCGGCCCAGGCTGATGCTCGCCTTCCTCCTCAAGGTCGCCGGAGATCCCGACGCGCTGCGCCGCCTCGTAGGCGACTTCCACGGCGGCCCGCAAGATGGCGCGGGGGCCAAGTGGCCGCGGCTGCTTCTCGACGACGGGGAGGTCGTCCAGCTGGCGTCGGGCGACAAGACGATGTCGTCCGTCGATGGCGTGGGGTCGACGCGCTGTTGCATAACATGATCAACATGCAGGAGGAGGTCTTCGTGCCGGAACCCAGCGTGGACTTCACTGGGTTCTACGCCGGAGCCGACGGGTTCCGCGACGTGCAGGTGGACGGCGGCTACTGAGTGTTGGTTCGGCCGGTGTCTCTCGCCGACACTATTTGTGTTGCTGCGCTAGAGTACATAGCAAAAGATACCACATTACAGGCTAGGTCAATAAAAAACTATACCACTTTTGTTGATATTTCAAAAAGCTATCATTTTTTGGTTCCCTGTTCCAAAAAAAAAAGTCACCGAATGGTCAGTTTTTAAGCGCGCTTACGACAAGTAGGGCCCGCCCCTCAGAGTTTTGTCGGCCAGGTGCTAACGGCATGCGGGCTGACGGCCGTTAGGGCGCACCCATTATGACCGGGGTCAAACAGACGCAGACGGCTCACGCTGTTTCCCCCTCCCCCTCTCACTAACTCACGCGCTCTCCCTCTGCTGCGTAGACCTAGGCGATGGCGGCAGCGGTGGAAAAATTAGACGACGCCGGCCAATCGACGGGGGGAGGTGAAACGGGAGATGGTGGCAGAGAATACTCAGAAGTGGACAACTGGCTGGGAGCAGCGGTAGCTTCGCAATGTAGCCGCCGGCACCGCAGCGGACACCTTCGGCGACGCCATAGGCTACACCGCCATCGCCGGAGAACCAGCAGTTCTCCCTGGAGTACAGAGCGGCGCGGAGTCTTGCTCGGGCTGTGGCGACAGATCCGGCCAACTCCGACCGCTGGGCCTCGGCATTTGGAGGTGTTGAGTAAGTATTTTCTTCTCTCCCAAACCCTTGTTTAATTCATTAGTGGTAGGTTAGTACACAGTTTAGGCAATCATTAGTTAGGTTTGACCAAACCCTAGGTTAATGCAACAGTGATTCATCTAAGTTAGTTAGTTGGATGCAGTAGTGATGCAAAACTGAGGCAGTAGTAGGATTTTGCACCTAGGTTAGTTATTGAGATAGTTGTTGGATGCAGTAGTGATGCAGCATTGAGGCAGTAGTGATTCAGAAAAGCATGGTGGAATCAAAGAAGAGGATTTGTACTGAATTTTGTAGTCAGTGGGCATGACCGAATTTTGTAGCAAAAGACACTTCTTCAGTTATGTTTATAAATTGTGTACAAGTTACAACTTGTTTTGAATTAACACATTATGTAATGCAGTCTGGATGATGACATTTGAGAGGTGAGGCTACATTTTCAGGGGAGAGATAACATGGAAAGAAGGTTCTCTGTTCCAGACATCACTTTTCTCAACTTGATAGCACTGACCAAAACTGAAAGCTATGGGTCAGATGACTACATGTACTAGGTAAAAAAAGAAGGAATTGGACAAGATAGTTTATTGCTTCTGGACGGTCAAGATGCAATTGAAGAAATGATAGACCACTCTGATTTCACTTTGCTGAATTCATTGTGGCCAAGGCAAATGAAGATAGAGATGTTGAATTTAACATGCTCACAATGCTTATGAAGAATAAGTTTCAATAGGCAGTCCAGCAGAGCTGCAACTTGAACATGGCAGAAGCTCCTGGTGGTGATGATGTAGATGATGTTGCTGAGGATGGAGGTGCTGCTGGTGAGGATGGAAATTTTGGCCGCATGCGGAGGAGGTGCAGCGTCGACGGGAAATGCAGACACCGGAGCAGCGCGCCAACCCCATCTACGCACTGGACTCTCTCAAATAGGAGTTCTGGTTCGCCCTCGAGCACGAAGAGCGCGGCGTCCAGCACGTGCTGGTTGGCACCCCCGCCGGCCCTCGTCGTGCGCGAGGAGGACCAGGAGGAGGAGACCGCCTACCAGGCGGCGCTGGCGGCCGCCATGCAGACCAGCGTCGACGAGGAGTGGTGCAAGGTGGCGGCGGCGTACCAGATGCGGCTGGCGGAGGCCACTTGAGAGACTGACTGAGGGCACTCAGTTAGCTACAACCAATCTCAAGAAGAAAGGGAAGGGGGGGCATCAGGGCTGTTTTTGAGGGTGGTCGAGGAATCACATACCTCTGGTGTAGCCACCGTGGGCGATATTGGATGGCTCGACAAACGTTCTTCTACCTCCTACAAACTTAGCGCTTCTTCCTCCGGCGAACTCAAAGGATACATGATGCTTCTCTAGACCAAGAATTCCGGGATTTGATGGATTTTCTAATGGAGATTCCGGCCAAGAACACTTCATTCATATAGCAGCGTACTCCAATCCGAGTCGGGACTCAATTGATTTATCTGTTGGAGAAGGACATGGGAGCAAGATGTTTGTTAGAGATTCAAATCAAACACGGGAGCAGGACGATGTCCGCCAGAAAATTCAGAAGCCTACTAGGGTGCAGGCCGGAGATGACTGGCGGTGCCGGACAGCTCACAGTGTGGCGCGTGCTCCCGGCCGGCGCTGGTGCACAGCGTACTCACCCTGCCTCCTCTGGCCATGCTCTCCCTCCACCAGTAGCGCGACTGCTGAAGCCCAATCCACTCTGTCATCGCCTCTGCTCCTACCTGATGCAAACACCTCCGCGTACATGGTCGACTGTCTCCCGTCGTCCTCTCCTTCGGCCACCCCTTGAATATCCGACGCCCGTGCCTCCTTGCCGTTCCGTCGTCCTCTGCTGCGGCCGCCACTTCGCTAGCCGACGCCCGTGCCTCTTTGGCTTGGCCTCCTCTGCCTCCTCATGTTGTCCGACAACCAACGCCACTTCTCCACCTCGACGCGTGGCGGAAGTCGTCTCCGCCGCACACGCCCCGGCGAACGTCGTCTCCGCCGCACACGCCCCGGTGAGCGTCGTCCATCCTCCCGCGCGACGCACGACGACCGGACAACCACCACCA